ATAAATATTTAGCTTGTGAACTATGACATTTATAAATGTATGAATAACATGGTGAAAAACCGACTTTGAAAGATAAACTGTTTTTTTTTCTTACAAAAGACTAAATAAAACAAAAACATTAGTGGTAATTTTTGACTGTCTAACTTTACAAACGACACCCCATACCCCAGATTATTACAATATCTGCTCATTCTGCCATTTAATTAGTTAACTGTTTGGTAATCTATGTTGTTTTTCTCTCACTTTTGACAGGTTTGACTTGGGTGATTATCCTACTGTCCTCTACTATAACTGGGATCACTGGACTCTCGACCTCAGCCATCGCCACCAATGGCAAAGTCAAAGGAGGTTTGTCCTCTCTGTCACTTAAACAACGACCTCTCTATGCTTTTATTTTTCAGTACTCGGGTTGATTTTTCTTGTGATCACAGGYGGGACTTACTTCCTGATCAGCCGCAGCCTCGGCCCGGAGCTGGGTGGTTCCATCGGTCTGATCTTTGCCTTCGCCAACGCCGTGGCTGTGGCCATGCACACTGTGGGCTTTTCTGAGACCGTCACTGACCTCATGGCGGTGAGAAGCTCAGAATCTGTCTTTAGCAGTTAATATAACCAGAAGCTCTTTAAATGCAGCTGTAAACCTCTTCCTTAGGAAAGTGGAGCTGTCATGGTGGACAAAACCAACGACATCCGCATCATCGGCATCATCACTGTCACATGTCTGCTGGGCATCTCCATGGCTGGCATGGCGTGGGAGTCCAAGGTGAGGCTTTCTTGTATTTACAATGACTACAGATGGGACTTTAAATGGTCACCTCTCTTTTAGCGTAAAAAAATCAGCTCCAGTCAAAACTGTTATTTCATCAGCAAACCCTGTTTCGTTTTTCCACTAATGAGCATGTCAGAAAATAGCTTCAAAACAGAACTGTTTCTCCCACAGGCCCAGGTAATCTTCTTCATGCTCATCATGGTATCATTTGCCAGTTATATTGTTGGGACAATCATGCCGGCTTCAACAGAGAAACAATCCAAAGGTTTCTATAGCTACAGAGGTAACTGTTCAGTCTCTACAGCAAACTTTTGTTTAAATTTAGAAGTTTTTCCACTGACAAATACGGTGGGTAATGCAAGACAATTTGCTGAAATGATGATTAATTTTCCAAATGATGGCAACAAACAAGTCTGTTCTTGTCACGTCCAACAGCGGACATCTTTGCAACCAATTTTGTGCCGGACTGGCGGGGGCCAGGGGGCAGCTTCTTTGGCATGTTTTCCATCTTCTTCCCATCTGCCACGGGCATCCTGGCAGGAGCGAACATCTCTGGAGATCTGAAGGTAAGTTTTGATTTGCTCATTTTCTTACTCCAGCCTTGTGAAATTTGTTACGTACTACATACATTTCTTATATATTTATCTATTTGTTCATGCAAACACGCATCACCTTTAGTGTGATTGGTACTTTAGAAGTTACCAGTGATGTACTTTATTTATGTTTATGTTGTGACTGTCCCAGAATCCAGCAGTGGCCATACCTCGAGGGACACTGATGGCGATATTCTGGACTACGGTGTCCTACCTGATCATCAGTGCAACCATTGGTAAAGCTCAGGCCACTTCCCAAAACAAACAGATCTTCACCTTTTTTTTTGCACYGACCAAAACATCCATATGGTCATATGGTCAATACCTTAATTAATGGATGATGCTAAAAGGTCTGCATCTTTCTCCTTCCTCCTCCTGAAGGATCCTGTGTTGTTCGAGATGCTTCTGGCTCCATAAACGACACCCTGACGTCAACCGTAGAGACCTGCATTGGTTTACCCTGTCAGTACGGTTGGGACTTCACAGAGTGCATCAATAATAACACCTGCACCTACGGCATCAGTAACTACTATCAGGTAAACACAAACACAAGCCAGAAAAATTAAAACGCTTCTTTGGATCTTCGGTTTTAAATTACAAGGATTGTTTAGAAAAACTGGAAGGGAAAGTGATCATATCCTTAAATTTATATCAAGAGTTTTTAAAGTTAAGAAAGCTGAATGCTAAATATAGCAAAATGCTAGCTAATAGCTCATTGTATTAAAAAGTAGCTAAAAGCTACATGTTGCAAATAAATTGCCAAAAAAAGCAAAAGGCTAACTAAAAGTTAAATATACAACAAAATAAAAGCAAAATGCAGCCAATTATTTGCTAGAAGCTAAAATAGCAAAAGCGTAGCGAAACGTTAAAATGTCAAACAGCTAACTGAAAGCTAACATTAGCATAAGGCTAGGAAAAGGCTGAAGAGGTTTTATGTATAGATGAAGTTGACATTTTTTGAAAAGTGTAAACTTACAACAAAAATTATTCTAAATGTGCTGATGATTTGGTTGGCCTATAATTGGCTAAAATAGCACAAAGCATCCAAATAAACAAATAAATAAAAAGTGTGACGGCTAAATCAACATTCACATTATAAAATGAATGTAGTAGAGACAAGAAAGCAAATGTAAACAGGGAGGTTGCAGTTTGACGTGAAGTTTTATCAGCATAAAGCTTGTTTTTGTTGGAAAGTCACGTCGACGTGTTGCAGGAAAGAATCCCAGCACAGGAAGTTTCTGTGTCGCTGTGAGAGAGATGAGGTTAATGAGTCTAAAAACCTTTGTGTGACAGTCACTGAGCATGGTGTCGGCCTTCTCCCCGCTCATCACTGCTGGGATTTTTGGAGCAACCCTGTCCTCTGCTTTGGCCTGCCTGGTGTCGGCTCCCAAAGTCTTCCAGGTGCAAACCCACACTCCAACACCTGAGATGACATACTGTGTTGTTTTTACAGAAAAAATTTAAATAAATAAAAAAAGATAGACACCATGTCCCAACTTATTTTTTCTTTTGACAAAAATGCTTGTTTCTGTTTCTTGCTCTCAGTGTCTCTGTAAAGATCATCTCTACCCTCTCATTGGCTTCTTTGGCAAAGGTTATGGTAAAAACAACGAACCACTCAGAAGCTACCTGCTGACTTACTTCATCGCTGCCTGCTTCATCATCATCGGTGAGTCTCTGAAAAAATCCAATCTCTTACCTTACCTTACCTTACCTTACCTTACCTTACCTTACCTTACCTTACCTTACCTTACCTAGCCTTGCCTTACCTTACCTTACCTTGCCTTGCCTTGCCTTACCTAGCCTTGCCTTGCCTTGCCTTGCCTTACCTTACCTTACCTTACCTTACCTTACCTTACCTTACCTAGCCTTGCCTTACCTTACCTTACCTTGCCTTGCCTTGCCTTGCCTTACCTTGCCTTGCCTTGCCTTGCCTTGCCTTGCCTTGCCTTGCCTTGCCTTGCCTTGCCT